GCATTCCTGAATGCCTTTGCTGATTGATTTCTGTTGTTTGAAGAACTACCTGAAGTTGGTGTAATGAGTCAGGGCATTGGACATGGTCTTCTAAACTGTCCTAGGATCTTGACTATCATGGAGTGTAGTATAGCTCCTATGAATTCAACATACTGCATCAGCATTAAAAAGAATTTTCCTCATGTTGACTTGTAGGTCCAGACATCTGTACAGTTGGAGAACAGTCTGCATTAAATGCAGAAGTTCCTGAAGGATCTTTCCCTGACATGCAAATCTCCATATAGGTATGTTGATAATTATTTTCCTTATAAATGTAGCTGCTAGTGCTTGGCCCGGGATAATTCCTAACCTGTGATTTGGTGGTTAGAACATTCTGCTTGGAAATCGGAGAGATTCTGCTCAACCCCTCTGCAAGAGAGGGACATAGAACTCATGTCTGTCACTTCCGGGGCAACCTCAGCTGCTCAGTTATTGGGACCAAAACACAAGAATGGCTCCCCCCTTCATTTTTCCCAAGACTTATGCCAGTTTAAATGCATACGTAGTCAAGTAGCCATGAGCAAGTATATAGCCTACTGCACATGCTCAGTTTAAGTGCTTACATTTACACATCTACACTGCAGGATAAAGAATTGCAAATTGTGTATGAGTACCAAAAACATCATTAATGCAGCTGAATAAGTGTAATTTAGGCGCACACAGTATAATGGAATTCTACCCTTGGAGTTTTGTCTTAACTTAGTTTCACGTTTAGTATGATTTTATTTATTTATTTATTTTACAATTCTACATGCACCCAAAAAACAAAGTAGAGGTTACAGGCTGGGGCTCTCAAACAGAAGATTTTTTTGCTGTGGAATGGGCTTTTCTAAGGATTTTTGATATTTGCAGCTATGATGAGCATCACTTCACAATTTATGCTGCCCTGAATAAAGATGCTGTATCAACAGCATCCAAAACAACTTACCAAAGACACCTTTACTGTCAACTGACCCTTCTTAGGTACTGTAAGTGTTCTTTTTTAATAGAGTCAATGCATTTTTTTATACTTGAGAAAAATAATACTGTACCAGAGCACCTCATGATTTGAGATACTAAACTGCAAACTTGCGGACAAATCATTTTTATGACCCAAGATATAATTGTATCCAGTCAAACAACATTTATGTATTACCCAAGAACTTATCAAGAGAGCGGGAACCCCAGAATCTGTCACTGAAATTACTATGGCCATGGACACGAATACATTTAAAACACTCCAAATTCCACTTGCGGCTACAGACAGCTCCCATTGGTGCTCTTCAAAATCACCACAACCACGTGGCAGCATGCTTTCCAGCCAGGGGGAGTGACAGGGAGTTGCTTAGTGCTGTGGCTCTGTTCCTGCTACTAAACAGGAGGAGAAAGGGGAACACCGGAACAGACAGCCAATGAGCGCTCTCCTGCGTGCTCAGCTTCCAGCCTCCCACTTCTGGAATCCAAGAGACATGTAAGGAATCATTATCTCCAGCCTCCCACTGGAACCAAGACACCAGAGACCTCATCCCCCTCTTAGTAGAAGTGGGAGACCAGAGGCAGACAGACACTCAGGGATTTCTGGTTTCCAAATCACGGGTTGGAGAGAAAGATTCCTTGCACGCTTCTCAGGTTCTAGAGACTGTCACAGACCACTAAGGAGAGCACTCATCTGCTGTTCACTGCATTCTCTCTCTCTCCCCCTGTGGGTGAGGGGGAGGGGAGGGAAGGCAGAGCTCTGTGAGATGCCAAAGGGCTGAGCAACTTCCTGTCGCATAACACTTGAGCATGCACACAGAATGTGAAGTGTTTCAAAGAAGTTGCTGCTCCATCCTGGGTCTATTTTAGAGCACTTCTGCCATTTTTAGAGTGATTCATTGGGTGTATATATCTGTCTGCTTGTCTTCTGAAGTGCTTCAAATGTCTGTCCAGGGCCCACATGACATTGCATTCATCATCTCACTCACACTCTCTCCGTCTGCTTCCAGACAATATTTATCTTCAGCCCAAGAGTCTTTCAAGCTTTAGCTTCCATAAAAAGTGCAATTTATTTTTAATTTTCTATTAAACATCAACTAGTCAATTAACTAATTTTTGTCCTCTTTAAATACATTTTTAAATAGACCATATTATTTTTAATTGATTTATTTTTTCCTCTTTCAATTTATTCTGAAAAATAAACAATATGTTTTTATTTTACATGGAAAAGGTAAGGCTACAATTTAAGATTCTGTTTATATTAAGCACAGAATTAATGCCAATGAACTGTGTTTTGACTGTTTTTAAATACCCACAACTGTGACAGATGCTAACACAATAAAAAAGTATAATTGAACTCACACACAAATCATACACAGTGATTTAATGCATGGCAGAATTTGTTAATGACTTAATTTAAGAAATTATTCACTTTAAGAAAGGTGCTTGCTATTTTATCAACTGCTATTTATACATTGGTAACCTGTTACAATTTATTATCTGTCAGGCTGCCTTAGTAATTTCTTAATTTTCACAATATGGTTGAAATATCCAAAAAACTCTCAAGTTATGCAAGTGATAATTATAACACTAATCTTGCACACGATAAAATCCTACAATTAAGTCTCTCATGAATATTCTATGGTGTTATGATTTTATAGTAATGGAAAAAGAGTGTGCATTTATTATAAATCTGTAATTATCCAACTAAGTATATTTTTATTTACTCTTAACTAGAAGTATCACACAAAGTATTTATTCATTTATTCTAACTTGGAAAGCAGGTATTGTCAACTGTAGTCACCCTTTCAGAGCAGTTTTATCTGAGGCTGTCCTCATTCGCCAGAAAAAACCTACCCAATTAAAGAAAATCATGCCAACTCCTCCTCTCCTCAAGTACCTATTCAATTTAGCACCATCAGTTTCCACAGATGAGCGTTAACATAGCATGAATATAACTAATGAGCTAATAGCAGATATAGCCATGAAACAATTACATCTACCAAACTTTACCTCCAAATTGGATAATAAATCTAGTGCTGCCCATACATGACAATACTGTCACTTCCCCCACAAAAAATATTTAATATTTGTTTTACTTTTCATTCAGGTTTAATTATAACATATATTTCTGTTCATTGTTGTGCTTATTTGAATGTGGAAATATACATCATTTTTACTTTTAGGATGGTTCTCTTACTAACCCTGGCAAATTTGATAGTCTAGTCAAAGCTGCACAAGTGCAGCAGGTTTGAAACTATCCTGATGTCTCAAATGACCACGGTGTGAACTCTGCCAGATACTTCTTTGGCACAATATTGGAAGTAAACAACAAGGCAGAGAGGCAAATAATAAACCCTGCAATTAAGATTAAACAAGACAGACCTGACTGGAAAGAGCTCATTAAAAAGCCTCAATTTAAGGTTTAATTACTAACAGATGATTGGTAAACCATGAATATTATAAAGAAGGAGGCACATATAGTCTTAGTCATATTAATTACTGAATTACAGAATCCTGTATAGTTTATGATTTCTATATTGTAAGAGTATTCTTAGGTGAAGTTTTCTTAAGTTGAGAGACAAATACAAAGAGGGATAGCTTTGCTAATGCAACTACAAAGTAAGGAAAGAAAAGCAGGTGACTGACAAGGAAACATTTCTGACCAACAGGGGAAGAGGATGAAAAAAAAATCTTCCCTTGTCAGAAACTGAACTTTTCAAAGGACTTATGTTCCAAAGTTCATAAATTTTATCTAACTGTCACCTTCCAGAATCACTGAAGAAATGGTTTAAAGCTGTTTCTCAAGGGTCTCAAAAACACAAAGAAACTGAAGAGCCCATCAGGAATTTTGCCCCTTGAATCCCAGTCCAAAGAACTAGAAAGAACTGAAAGGACTAAAGTAGTAACATAGTTGAAAAATTGTCAATGATGGATAGCAAGTAGTAGAGCTATCATTCTTGCTCTCTCTATGCTGGTGAAAATAATTCAGGTTAAGTAAATTATAGAGGACCGAAAATAAATTAGCTCAAGAAGTAAAGAACTATATAAGATGACCTATAGTAAAAATATGAACTTAGAACATGTAGCATCCTTGCTTGCTAAGCAAGGACAAAGCACAGACCACTGAGAACCTACAACATGCACTGTTTTGTACTGTTTATCTACCAATTACCGAATCTACTTCAAGGTTGTTTGTTCTCACTAAACCTCTGTACTGACCAAGAATCACTTATCTTAGGAACTGCATTTCAGAATGATAGTTTCATTCAATCAGGATACTTCAGCTGATGGCACACTTCACAAGGTCTGAGGATAAATCTTTCCCAACTAAGGGCTTGAGAACAAACATCCACTGGAAAGTAGTGAGAAACTGAGTCTTGCTGTCTTCATAAAATCATTTTATTAAGTAATTGGTGGGATCTTTTGAATTCATTCAAATTTTTACTTTTATCAAGGAGCTGCTAAGCTTTAGGAGTGCAATGCCACACTCCTTTTAGGGACATTCCATACATATAAAGAGGACCTAGATATTATGGTGATGGATGCTTTAAAAATAAGTCTAATAAAACACACTAGGTTTTTTGGAAGTTATATAATAATTATTCATAACAAAGCAAAATCTTGGCAGGGAACTTAAAAATATGAAAAGAACAAGTTCTAAGTGACTACTTTTTCAGCAAAGAAGATGAAAAGCTTGATTATACTAGACCAGTGATTCTCAACCAAGGTGATGGGACACCCTGGAGTGACACCAGATCCTTTGAGAAGTGCCACAAGGTGTGAGGAGATAAGCTAAGTAGATACATGCAGGCTCAGGCTTGTCCCTGCCTGAATGATCCCCACACCCCAAACCCCTCTGCAAGGAGGTAAGCACTATAATTTATACATTAGTTTTTGAAACTGGATGCCACTCAATTCACAGAAGTTATGGAGGGGTGCCTTGAGTCCAGTGAGAGGTGCCTCAAGTCCAAAAACATTTGAGAACCACTCTACTAGACAAAGGAAGGTTCTCAAATCAATTAATCATGAGACTAGGGAGATCTGCCCAATGTTCTTCGAACTGAAAGCACCTATTGATCTCTGAACTATCACTTGACTCAGAGAATTAATACTATTTTTTCATTTCAACACTTTTTGCCTTTTCCGGCTCATTTCATAGGTTTCTCCGTGGCTGGACTTATACCTGGGAGAACAGCAGTTGGACAGATCAACACTCTCCCATCCATGCTTTCTCTTTGATCTTCTCCCTGCCATGTCTGAGACCAACTCTGCCAAAAAGTCAGATCTC